TTTCAAAAACATTTCAATAAGTCAATCTCTTTGGTAGCAGAACTAAATATAAACAAAATGTACATTAAATTCAACTTATAACAGCACATCATATGGGGGCTTAAGACATCTAATTCCTTAGGTGGTAAAACATGTGTACATAAAAAGGTACCAGTAAAAACAAAACAAAATTAGTTTAAACACACGCACTTAGATATTCACGGTTTTCATTAATACAAAAGATGAAGCAGAACATCACTCTCCCCTGGTTGTTTCCATAAAGAAGAAATTAACCAGGAAACATGGAGATGTCCATTGCACTCCTTTATTTTGCTTACAATGTGCAAATGTGCCTACTATGTGCTAATAAGCTTTCCATGTTATGGTTTTGTTTTTTATGTGCTGTATGCAAATGTTCTAAATGTGCTTAAATTACCATGTGCTGATGTGCTTACCGTGTTCAATGTGCCTATTAAGTGCTTTCCAAGTGATAAACTCTTTTTCTGAGCTTACAGTATACTACATGTACATACATGTTTTTATTTTATTTTTCCATGTTGTAATATTTTGGTCTCTGTTATTATACTCATGTTTTGTCTTTGTAGCTTATGTTGTATGTTTTGCAAAATGGACGTAAAATATATATTTTTGTATCTTGTACGTGCTCAAGGATTTTATCTGTAGTTTTTGGGACTATATATAGAAAAACTTTACCCCAGTATGAGGAATTGTTTTACACATTTATCATAAAACAAGTTATGTTCAGATTTCAGACAGAAGATACTCTAAAATTGTACAACTCAGAAAAGGTTGAAAAATATTTATAGTTCATTTTTTTCTGCTTAGAAATATTTAATCTCTAAATTACAAATGATAACTGTTTTAACAGGTCTAGTTTCCGAATTGGAAACCAAACCCTGTCTGACCTATAAATGATCATTATATAAGGCCAATTAAAAGTTTAAAACAAATATTGAGTTTATGCTAACCCCACAGATACTGGACACACTAATAGTAATATGATGTGTATAAACTATGATATATTATACACACTATACTTATTGGTGTGTTCGACACCAGTGTGGTTAACCAGACTTATCTCAGATTTGTGTTCTACAATACCCTTAAGTTTTTATATGCACTGTTAAAGTCAGAACTCCTGCTCTATATTAGCGCAGTAAAGATATTTTTCAAATTAACAATAAAATGCCTAGCTAATACATACCTACCCTATTTTTTTCTGATAGTAGAAACACAAGTAATTTGTTTGGCCTAATGTTTCTGTCATTTCATAATATTTAGAACTACTATACTTGTTTAAGTTTCCAAAACATCAAGTAGTATAACAATTGAAACTTCAATGAAAGCCAACATCACAATGAATCTAATAATACAATGTTTATAACATGTTTTTTTTTAACTGAATGAGAAGAAATGTAAGGCCAAATATCCTCACAAACAACGCTTAAGTGAAATCAGTTTGCAACTAAGCAGTTCGAAAATTTTGCAACACGTCTGGAGAAAGACGTTCCTCGTGACGCTGTAATTCACTAGAGTAAAACGTCCGTTTATTATGTTTGTTTTTGCATAATAACTGCTATACATACCGTAGAAGCACCTTCCTTTTTGTCATCGCCGCTGACAACATGCGCCATTCTCTGCGGCTTCGGCCGCATGCTTGGCCACAAGTCACCGAAATCGGGATACATAGCCTTATTTATGAATCAGTAGTAGGTAAACGTTGCAGAAGTGTATGTATATTGTTCATTGTCAATGCTGCTTAAACAACATGCCTAACATTAAGTCAACACTCGCCTGCATTTTCGTCTTTTCCGCTTCGCGTTGCGAATGATGTCTAGGCCTACACAAAACGAAAGTAAAATGTGCGCATGTCTAAATGTAAGGGAGATCACTCGTGTTTTCCCGCAGTATATGTCTGAAATCATTCCGAAGGTGTTGTTGTTTTTGTGTATATTGAAATAAAAGAGTCCTGTTATATGGTAATACTTCAATAAACGAAAAACACAAATCACACCAACAGACATATAAAATGTAGGCCTATCGGAGCATATTTTCGTTTCTGGCTGAGCTGTAATTAGCGAGAAGGCGATATAAAAATGCAATAGCATATCTTATGATGAAAATAGAACAAAATGATAATACTGCGAAGGTAAAAAAAGCCTTCAGGTTAGAATACCAATATGGAACTAGAGAAGGACAGTGGCTAGTTCTAACATGATTCCCGGTCTCATCTGCCCCGGCCGGTTGATCCCATTTTAGTTAGGCAAGCCTGGTGTGAATCACACGGAGGCGATTTTAGAATTAATTGACAGGATCCGTATCCATTAATAGGTTTGTAATATGAACTTTTTATGTTGATCTCCTACATAATTGTAAGTTATACTCCGCCTTATATTTCGTTAAATTATCAAGTTTACGTAACAAGTGCAAGCGAAATCCTAATTGACTGCCATGTTGGAAACTTCCTCAATCTTTCCGATATAGGTCAGACGTCTAAATATGGGTGTCATGACCAAATATGGAAATTGTAGTAAACATGACCGCATCAGTAGTAATACTATATTTGGCCGTGAAGGCCATATAAGGAAACGGATAACATCACGCGTGATCTAACATGGCCGTCGTTTCTTTTTTTAGAGTTTTTAGTAAGGATTTGTTATTTTAACGATGAACGAATATGCAATATTTTGATAACATTATAATCATATGAAGCGTGAATCAGATATATTATTACTGATTAGCACTTTTGATTATCCTCAGTTAGTTGGAACAGGACCGCTTCATAGCTCTGACCACGCAATATATAATTGTAAACAGGGACGTAAATGTCACCAATTTTAGCCAATCACAGGACAATATTTCCGTGTAAAGGGTTAATCCAGCGACAGTTCCAAGAGTAAATACGAAGTTTTAGAAGGATACTTAGTTCTAACTAAGAATAAGATTATATCCAATGACGTTTGAGTGAACTTGAGTCCGTGGTAATGGATTTTATTTGCAGTTTGTTTAGTATTACTAGAAGGTGACGTTATGTCTCGTTTATGAATATCTGAGCTCATTAACTGAAGTATTTTTACCGGAAGTTGCGTGTAGCATGCATGACCTACATTCAAGTAGCAGTTCCCGATTGAGATAAACAGGGTGCATTTTCAATAAGAATACGACGTTGTGATAAGATCATATGTTCTATAAAGAAAAGTAATGATATTTATAAGCCATTCAAGTGCATTTGAGTCCAAAGCTACGCATATTAAAGACAGTAGGTCCGGTATATGATTCAATTTAGTACCAGTGACTACCGCTAGAGGCCGTCTGTGTGAAATCGACATTTATGAATATCTGAGCTCATTAACTTAAGTAATACCAATAGCTGGCGGCTAACGCCTTAGCTAAAAATGTTAGCTATTCAATTTTGTTAAACATAACAGTATCAATTATATAACAATGCAGGAGAAGAGCCTTCAGTTAAATTAGATACTCAAATACTATGAAATTCAAAAAGTATATGGATTGTATATGATTGAAGACCTTTCAATTACTTGACTAACTCACAGATAGTCTGTTTTGGACAAGCTAGATATTTTTTCCAGATATAGTTCTCTGACCAATCTTATGAAGGATCGACGAGAAGGTTGTCATGAATCAATTCAAAAATTAAATAGATAAATAAAAGGAATTACGTTACGCTTCTTAAACATCAATCCAGAGACGTATATATTACATATTACGTAATATATACATATTTGATCATCCGAAAGAAAAATACAAAATGACATGAACATTTGTTGCCTAATTCCGTGTTCAAACTTGATTTGACTCCCAGAGATACTGTTTACATACACTTTTAATAACCATGAGTTTGTGACACTAATTAGGAAATAACAGAAATCTGTTATCTGGAGTACGGCTCCATTCTGGACTCTGGGAAATATCCCGGGTGTGTGCCCCCGGGCACTTACTAATCCAAGTTCCTGAAGGTACGCTAATGAGGTGTATACTGGTACCGAATCTAAATCACAGTTACAGGTAAAGATATATATAGATATTGGTCAGTAGGTTCACAGAGGTCGGCGTAGGTGGCGCTAGGCTTACTTGTTGTTTTAATTGACATATCTCAGTTTTAAGTTTGTCATGTATTTCACTGCCAAGCGAGATTTGCCTACACCTACAACCATCAAGACAACAACCCGAAGTTACGTGAATAAGAGCCACTTAGTCACTTAGTCATCATGTTTCTTTGATATGATGTCCGGAATGACACAAGCGTTGGTCTAGTAATGAATGTAATATTTTTGAGGTTGAGTACATAATTAAACCCGCCACGGCTGCGTGATCACATTATCGCGTCGCTATTCCGGCCATAATACAACCCGTGCCACAATCAAATATTAGGATCTCAATCAATAATTAGACTTGATATCATTATACGTTAAGTCAGAACCAAACATTGACATTTTTATTAGTGTATACGAAAGAACAACAGAAGATCACCAGCTGTCAGTCTCGATCAGATCGCATGCTCGATATCAAAAGTTCTTGGTACTTTATTACAAATCTAAAAGGAAACATGTCCTGAAATGAAATTAGATATATATTAATTTGAAACATACATATAACCCATGGACAGTTATATGACGTATATATGTTAGGTTACATAGGGCTTGTAGATAAATTTACGTTTAATCACATTTCAATTATAAAGTTCCATCACGGACTTAGGTTCCATGTACGCTAATTATAACATGTTTAGTCACTCTAAACGATTCTAAATACATTTGATATGACATCTCCAGATGTCTGGTTCGTTTGAAATAATTAATATGTAAGGTATATCGTGTTATTTGATACAATACTATACTACGATCAATGCAGTGTACACGGAGGAAAGCGTGCACTCAGCGAGTAGGCCGAGACCCGAGTACATAACGACCAATGGGTTTATATTGAGATCTTTATCGCTTTAACAACAATAACTGGTTCAATTACTGTGCGTAGTTTTGTACGGGGGAGTGAGAAGGAACAGCGCCAGGTACTTTCGTTGGTGTGTTGGTGAAACACTGTGCGGACAGGTGGGAAGTGTTTCCAGCAATATACGGATATGTTTCACCTGGAGTATCCACAATTCCGTGGATTTTTTACCTGGGACGAATTAGGGTGAGCTGGTTAGAACACTGGTTTGACATGTCAAGCGTAGATTTACACGTGTGTACTCATGAATACACAGTGCGTAAACTATATGTGTCTAGTGAAGGAGAAAGTACCTAACGTTACATGTATAGATCTATGTAGTCACAGCAAAGTTGATCACCAGCAGATAGGTATTCTCCAGAGACAGCGGGGCGACATCGTTTTGATACAGTTGAATAATGTATATTTTGTCTGATGATAGAGGGAATTGTATATATTTGTCCAGAGACGTATATATATTACTATATACGTCTCTGATTTGTCATAGTGACAGGTCACAGCACCGCTGTAGCTAGTACTAATATTAATACCCGGCCTCCTCTGCCCCGACCGCAAAATAAAATCCTCGTCGTTAGAAAGCTACGTTATCGCAGCTATGCTGTAGCAAGAGAGGTAAAATGCAACGGAGCAAGACCGGGATTCGAACCGGGACCTCCAAACTCTAGACGGACACTCAAACCACAGGCTTACATAGCATGTTAATTTTGGTCGCCGTTAATTACCTGGCCTAGTCCTGCTACACATTGACAGTCCCTATACGGTTCTGGATAAAACGTTGATTTGATGTCCCCAACCTAAAAGTCGCTATAGTTTGTGGATGAAATGATGATGGGATGTATATATTATATAAATAGTCCCTTCGTTAAATGATGATTGGACGTCCCTAAGATTATAATATTTCTAATAGTTAAATTATGTTATATTAGGCGCTATATAGTTTGTGGATGAAATGATGATGGAATGTCCCCAAATATAGTCACTATAGTTTCTGGGTGAAATGATGATGGGATTTCTCCTACATATAGTCACTATAGTTTCTGGGTGAAATGATGATGGGATTTCTCCTACATAAAAGTCCCTATATGGTTTGTGGAATAAATTATGATGGGGCATACATATATATAATATACAATAGAGAGTAGACCTAAGGTAAAGGCTAGAGGTCCATTACACTGAAGATTTGTAGTGTACAGTGTTTAGGCTGCAGGTAAACTAGCAGTGCACAAGACCTCCTGTGGTGTTGGCCAGCTTTGTCTAGCTGTGTCCCCCACTTATATGTACAGGTGTGCCTGTGGTTGATGGGAGCCACCTGAAATCTAGTTGTAAATGGCCTGTATTGTTTGATTATATAAATATTATGAATAATTCAAACTGAACAATTTTCTTTTTATTTCTTATCAGCAGGGAATCTTTTTATTATTTGAATAGCGCATACTAATAATACAGTTTAAAATACCTTAATCCGATTTATTATTCAAAAGTTTTTGTATTAAAACTTATTATCTAAATGATGTAAAAAAAATTTTTTATAAAATGTGGTGATTTTAAGCTTAAACATCAAATTTCTCAATAATATTAAAATTAGATCTTCACATCCCTCCCGTTTACTGACACACGACATACCAGTAAACGGGAGCGATGCAAAGATTGAATTTTAATTAGATTGCAAATTTCTATGCTGAACATGAGTTGACCAACAAGTACAGTACATGTAGTTATATATGTGTAGGTGTTTTTTGTATTATGTTTTGTCTCCATTCAATACTACTTCTTTGTTTCATTTTGTTTAATAATTTTGTTGTTCTTCCAATGTTTCCCTACTTTATTTGCACTGTTTTAACATTCCGTCTATGTTGTGAAGGTGTTGTTGTCTTCAGTAATTTAATAGGAAAACAAGATATGCTTAGAGATTTTAGTAATATGAGGTAATTTAAAAATTAAAATAAATCCACTAACTGATCATTATTCATTAAAGTTCACTTATTTACATACAAAGTTGATACCAAATGCAATATATATTTGTGAGTTCTCAGTCCATGATAATAATTGCTAATTGATGAAGTAACATTTAGTTAGAATGCATTTATAAATTATACAACTAAGGTAATTGGCCTATAGGTTTTATTTTTGCTGTAATTTTGAAAATTTCTATATAAATCAACAATTACAAAATGTCCATTTTTGAAAGATTTTTTTTATTGGTGACACATTAAATATTTTTCTATTTTTTGTCAAATTTGACCGAATCAATATTGTTTTTGAGGTTATCAAGATCGAAATACAAGCATTGCATCATGTACACATCCTAACCATTATATACATGTAGCAATTAACTTCAGTATCTCAAATTATTTTAACTTGTATACATACATATATATATTTATATAAAGTCTCTCATAACTCTGTATAAAGTGGCCTCAGTGTAATTTTAGAAAAATGTGTTGTAATTGTACATGTGTTTTTAAATTATTTGAACTTGAACTTTGAACCTAATAAAGGTTAAGTAGTCATAAATGAAGTGAATGGTGACGCCTGTTGATCATGAGTATAGCTATGTGTATTATATAGGCTAATATAACTAGGACCTTCCGTATTCCGACTTGAGACAAATGGACAGGTGAAAAGAGAAAACGAGGGTGCCAGTAACAGCCAGCCTTATCCTTATGAGCCGTAAGGCTTCAAGTTGAATAAACAATACAATCCTAGCTAGGGTACTGACAGAGATATCAGTATCTAAAAGTGTTTGTTTAGAATCTATGAAACTGACAGCATGAAATAGACATGAAATACAACATCAATGAATACTGCCATAAAACTCTGACATGTACAAGTCGCGTAAATAAATCAGACACAAGATATGTTAGTATTCTGTGTTGAAAAATAATCATCATTAAAATAAATATATTCATACACTACTGTTTTCTACTTCAGTGCAAAATAAGGTGTTTGGGGGTAAATTTCCCCCTATAGCTTTTTGGGTATTTACCCATTGATTTTAGGGTTTTAAATTGGAATATGAGAAAGGAACATAACACTACTGCTTGTATTAATAGGTTTAGTACAATATACAGTATAAACAGACAAACAGCTGATTTAAAAGTTGTCATTTATACGATAAAAAAACAACCTAACTGTTGGCAATTTCACCACATTAAATGTCAAATTAAAAAAGGAAATGAGAAACATTTTGAAATGATATACATAAATGATTTTTTCTTCTGAATAAAATTTGATGCAAATTCAATTGATCTATATTGTATTGCTGAATATAATGCACTACAATATCTATATATTCTGTGTTGCATAATCCGATTAAATTGTTTTTATATGTTTTTGCTTTGAATGAATATTCTCATTAACTTCAGACAAGTTCACTTCCATTGAAAACTTGTAAACATTAACACATATTGTAATAGGTATATGTTTTATATAATCTTCTGTGAACCATTGAATTAGGAGTAAATTGTTCAGTTTGAAATATCTGATGATCACTTTATCTAATAGATGAAAAACCGTTACACATTAGGGCCAAACTTGGATCGGAACTTACAAACTGATTGATCATGAGCTAGCTACCTGGTCACCAGGTGTAGCTTAGCCCAGTCCCCTACACCTATACCATTGAATATACATGTAGTTAGTGGGTGAAAAGATTATGGGACATCTTAGGTCTCATCCTTGTATGATATTGGGTGATGGGATGTTCTTTATATTCAAAGGAACTCTATATTGTTGGTTTGAGCTATATCTTTGAGAAAGAAGCAAAAATTTATTTACGTAATTTTTAGTCTTCAAGTAACTTTACATGTATATACTACTAACTTATAAAGCTAATACTAATATCAAACTACATGTTCTCTAAAACATTCTTGATACAGGTATATACAGAGCATATATAGTATTAAATAAACACATTTAGAGGCAGGAGAATCATTAACAAATTTACATACTTTTACTCCACACTAGGCCTTGTTTGAAATGCTCTTCTGTATTCGAGAGTAATACCTTGGCTAAGTGATGTAGTCAACAAGTAATGTTTTCTTCTCCTTCAAAAGCTATCACTCAAACCAGCATTGTCTTCATGTACCAACATGAATATCATGTATTATTTTACCTCATCTTTATAACAGTGTGTCTGATTGGATGATACTGGTCATATGACGAGGTAATAAAACATCATGTCACCCTCACGCACTCTAGTTTCCACAATAATATTTCACTTATTCCGAGGCTCTCTTTTTTTCTCTTTTTTTTTCTTCGGCATAATAAATTCATTGTCCTCACTGTAGGAGATCAAGATTCTTTGTTTCTCCTTGATTAATCAGTTTCACTATGTCTTCTCCCTCGTAAAACATGATTAACCTCCGAGAAACAAAGACTCATGTTTCCTTTCAGTAAGGGCAATAAATGCATAATATATTTGTTCAAAGGATATTGGAGAGGAATTGATAAAAAGCTCATAGTTTTTTTTATTGTCACCATTTCTTAACAATTCATTTTTATATTACAGATGTTTAGCAAGAGGATTAGGGGTAAGTACAAGATATATAGGCACTGACAATCTGGAGTATATTGTATATCTAATAGCCTGTTATCAGTGTTGTTTCTAAATCTATCTATTTATAGCCATCTTAATTGTTACAGGCAGGTGATATCGGTTCATATCTCCTGCTTGAGTTTTGATATTTTTCTGAGCTGAAGGGAAATATGTCCAAACTCCAGCAGGTGATCTAACTTAACATGTCTCTTCTACCCAACAACATAGAAAAACACTCTAGATAATTATGGACCAATAAATAAATACTTAAATTATGGATAAATCTTCAAACACTGTTGTGTTATCTATGATTGAAGAAGGGTTAAACCATTTTTTTCTGTTTTTTTTTTATTGTGCTGTGTAACTGTTTTATGTTCATGTTTGATAAAGGGGCAGATTGCTTTAAAAACTGAACAAATTTATTTTAATTTGTTTGGATCCAGTACCTATTACTGAATGGACCATATACTAGCTGTTTTAGATACTTACTTATGAGACATATATGTAAATGGATAAATAAACTTTAAGACACTGACAGACTTACAAAGTATCCATATTTATCACAAAAATACACCAATCTGTAATGAACAATGCATCCTAAAAACATGGGGAAAGTCATTAGATTGGAGATGTACATAATGGCTTTTGATGTGCCATGTACAGTATTATAAACATATTGTTGCACTCTGTAGATTGTAAAATACAGTGGAGATATAGTCTAAAAAGTTGTGGCAAATTTTAATTGTATATTGGTCGCCTTCTAGTTTCGCGCTGGAGGGAATTTCCCTTTAGCTCTGTGGTAGAGTGTCCGACTAGGAAGTCTGGGATGACGGGTTGGAACCCCGGTGGAAGCACACTACTCTCTTTCCCGTTGCAAATTGATGACGTCCTATTTTTTATTTTATTTTTTTACTGAAGTCATAATAAAATTTGGTTGCCTGATGATCCCATAAATGGGCGAAAGGGCTAACAACAATAGCTAGTTTGTTTATTTTCATTGTACAGATCACAGGGGACACTGTGTCTTTAATTTCTGTATAAAATATAAATAGTGTTCATGTTTCATTTTATTTAACTTCTAGATATACATGTATGTGTGTTAAAGTTATATGTGTACTTGTATTGTGTACACTTTGAGTGGATTAACATTTGACCTAATAGGGATTTCTACAGATTCTGTAAGCCTATTATGTCTAGTTGTAGTTTACCTGTAGATTACAGGTAGATCCAGGTGAGATATACAGGTATATTGTTTGACAGTGTTGGACATTTAAACTTGACAATATACAATCATAAGGTCAATAGTATATTTGACCACATTGTAAAATGCCACAGAACCATACTACCGTTTAATGGGTATACTATGAAAATCTCTGTTGTTGTTTTAGCTGTTACAAGTAGGCACACTTTCAAAGGATCGCAACAACGTTATGGCGTTAGATATCACAAGATAAACACGAATCAATTCTCTAGATTTTAACGTCACCCGAGACGTAGTCTGATGTGACCTAGTGATCTATTCCCATCACCTTTTCTCCGTTGTCATGGGTGTTTGTCTAACTCTGTGCGTCTAAAGCATTATTCATTTTTCAACTTCTTAATACCGTTACACAGATGTCAAAAGTATTTAAATAAAGTTTTCATGGTTATAGACTAGATAAAATTGTGAACTATATAAAAGGTTCTCGCCCCAAATGGGCTGAGGATTGGTGTAAAAACTTGCTTGTTGGGTGTCAAGTGGTATATTGTACCAGCTCACCTGAAGGTCAGCTTAATATGCTGTATCGTAGGGTTCATTATCCGTCTGTTAATCTATCTTACCATCAATTATTTCTTTCCAAGGAACTATTTTATGGATAACAACTACTTTTTGTTATAAACATATCTCAAGGTGGTGGGGATTAAGAATTGAACATATAGAGTGGCTGACCCCCGGGGAACAAAGGGGCAGGGCAAAAGATGGGATATGACTTGGAAATGGTTGAGATCTCCACCCTATGATTTAAAAAAGAGTAACTGCATGGGCATTTAGTGATCACGACGGATATGCATATAGATAGCTTACCAGGATTGGCCTCTGGGTCCATCCCCTTCCCTGGGGACTTAATCCTTGAGTCATAACATGGATACAGTTGAGATTTCCCCTCTAACGTAGCAGTATACATGTATGTATTGAACACAATTATTAATTGTTTTGGACATGGCAAATACAGATATGCTACCAAGACTGGCCTTAGGTCTACCCCTACCCTAAGGGACTTACTCCTCCAGTTATAATATGGAAAAGTTTAGATCCCCAACCTACAACCATACTTTGTACCTTATTTGATCATAACATAGAAAAAATTGAGATCCCCACCCTTATAACCATATATATGTATAACATTTCTCAGCATAAAGAGATGAACATGATTATGCCATCACAATTTGCTCAGGGGTTTGGCCTGCCCCTAGGGACTTATCTCTCACAATACTTAGTAAAATACATATATAGTGTTATTTATGTTTGGACACATATATCACAATGCTTATCTGTAAGATACATGTATCACAAATCTCTTGGGTAGAAAAAGATATCAAAATATTTATGTTTATATGGGGAGGGTGCCTATTTATGGTGAATACGGTAAACCTACTATATATGATTCTGTCAGTGGTACATTTAAACTTATGAATGTTATCAATCCCATGTATCATGATGCTTATGTGTAGATAAATGTATCACAATATGACAACATGATATCTATGTGTGGATACATGTGTTCATACTATGGTGATATTTGATAATAGAATTGTCCTTAAGACAATAATTCACATAGCGTATACTTTACATGTAATAGTATTGATGTCATGTCAATGTAGTACTGACTTATATAGAGCGATCAATAAAGCTACAGACTTAGAAACAGGTTTATTTTCAACTTTTAAGCAGCATCTTAATTCTCTTAAGTTGGCATTCAAAAGAAAAGTAGACCAGGGAGGCCATGTGTGTATACCATATTTACTGTAATTTGNCAATATAACTACTGGACACTATTATTCCCCTGGAGAATTTCAAAATTATTATCTTAATTGTCAGATTGCAAGATTTTAATGTCTGATACATAAAGTGTTTAGTTACAGTTTTTGTTTACTGGAGAGGGCCAACTTACTTTTAAGAGGGAGATTGGGAAAGGGGGCACTTATATAATTCAATAAGTGCTGGAAAAATGGGGGGGGGGGGCAATTTACAGCAAATACGGTAAACCTGCTTTATAAAATCCTGTCAGTGGTGCTTTCAAAGTGATGAATGTTATCAATATCATTTATTCCATTCCTTATCTCATTTATTTGAGAAGTAAATATTGATACAAAATAAAATTTCAATTGAATTATAAGAGATTATTCAGATATGGAATCTGTGTATTGGAAACTAAGTCACGTAAACTGGCCCATAAAGCCCCAGATAACATTGTCAAATACCGGGGTGTGGACAGGTTTACCTGTCGCTGACATCCACTTGACAGGCGGTGTAAAAAGAGACTTGAAATCTGTTCAAATCCAGCAACGTCATTCCTTTTTTTACAATACTCTTAGATTGATAAAAAGGAAAATTGGCTAGTTCAATATTAGCATTACAAAGTTCTTTTGAAAAAGACATCGTCAAATAAAATCTGATTGTGAATAAAGTTTGGATGTACATGCCGTGTATATAGTTAGGACACCTGATAGATCAGGTAATGACCAGGTAACACGACCAGGGAAATGCCAGGTAAAAGCTACAATAAATATGGGGGTGGACACCTTTGGATAAAGGAGAATGATTTAATATCAATGCTACGTACCTAAGGAATGCTCAATATATCAGGTGAAAGGTCATGCATGTTTGATTGAAGTATCACATGTTTTAAATGCAGATATTTCTGCTATGTTGCACTTCACGATTGGCTTCTGTCAAATTTATTTGCCTTAAGTGTGAAGTTTTTGTATTTATATTAGATGTTCGTACCACTCCATCTAAATGTTTGTGTAGTTTCTACAACTTCTTTGTTTATATATATACATCCTCACCTCTGTTACTTGGCATTTGTTTTAGAATCACAACCTATAACAGGGAAAATCTTATACTAAAAGCATTATTATTTTTTCCCCTCTTACCTTAATATTTGTAATAGGTGCTACCTAGAAGTGAACCCCTGAGGTGATTCTACAGTGTTTATATTAAATTTACTTCATATGTGAAACAGAAATTGCCTGGAAAGAGCAAAGCTTTTAAATTATAAGAGCTAGCATTATCAATAGTGCCAATTTGTCTGTGTGCACCACATGGAGTAATAAAGTCACCATTTGTCATTGCATGGTGTTACAATATGTTGAAATTTAGAAGAACTTAAATTTTTCATTGTAACCATGCAAAATTTCACTGATCTATAATCCTGATGAATGTAAAAGGACATTATATAACACAAACAGTACTGGTGTCAAGCTTATGTCTTACAAAGTTTTCTTTTTGTTATCTATGAGAAATTAATCTGAATGTATTGGATGTCATTATTTAATCTGGTTTTATTGTCATTTCAGTTTCCAATTGAACTGTTCAAAGATAACCTGGCTGATGAGATTGAGCAGGAGGAGCATGGCCTCTGTATGAAGGTAATGACACAGTGGCAGGGAGTGTTCACCTAGTTACTCTAGTGTCAGTCATGTGTTTCACAGAGTGTCAACAGGGGGTTTCTGTGGTGACATATTGGTGTTTTTTTAAGTATCATAAGGGCGTTTTTCTAAGTATCAAAAGGGTGTCCTAAGTATCATAAGGGTGTCCTAAGTATCATTAGGGTGTCCTAAGTATCATAAGGGTGTCTTAAGTATCATAAGGGTGTCCTAAGTATCATAAGGGTGTTTTTCTAAGTATCATAAGGGCGTTTTTCTAAGTATCATGAGGGTGTCCTAAGTATCATGAGGGTGTCCTAAGTATCATAAGGGTGTCCTAAGTATCATTAGGGCGTCCTAAGTATCATAAGGGTGTCCATAGTATCATGAGGGTGTCCTAAATATCATGAGGGTGTCCTAAGTATCATAAGGGCATCCTAAGTATCATAAGTCATAAGGGTGTCCTAAGTATCATAAGGGTGTCCTTAGTATCATAAGGGTGTTTTTCTAAGTATCATAAGGGTGTTTTTCTAAGTATCATAAGGGTGTCCTAAGTATCATAAGGGTGTCCTAAGTATCATAAGGGTGTCCT